GAGAGAGAGAGAGAGAGAGAGAGAGAGAGAGAGAGAGAGAGAGAGAGAGAGAGAGAGAGAGAGAGAGAGTCGACGATCCCCCCACGGTCAAGTGTATTATCTGTTCCGATGAGTTTCATGTATGATCTGTGGTCCATTGGGATCAATAAGAAAAAAAAGAAAAAAAGAAACGGGAAAGCCTTACATGCATGCGCGCGCGCGCGCGAGAGTGAGAGAGAGAGAGAAAAAAACCCTAACTACCTAAGACGCTCCACCACCTTGAAGTGTGTTCTCTGTCCCGATCAGTGTCATATCTGATCCGTGTTTGATCGGGAGATTCAGGACCATTAAAGAATAACAATCAAACAATGAAACGGAACTCCACAGGGGTGTGCGAGACCATTAATTAAAAAAAAAAAAAGGGAAATCTGCACGGGTGCGATCCGTGTGTGTGTGCGTGTGCGTGCGTGTGTGTGTGTGTGTGCGTGTGTGTGTGTGTGTGTGTGGCTGGAGCGAGCAGACCACAGCGATCTATCTATCACTGAAGTCCTCCAGGGGCCTGTTTATTTAAATAAACTGTGCCCCCATTTCTGTTCTATATGAATTAATGCTTACCATACATAATAATAAAGATGCTTGATGGAGACTTCCAACAAGTGGCCCCAGGCTCTCTTAATTACGCCATGTCAGCCCAGATCGCCTATGGATGGGGGGAAGTTGAAGGGAGGAGGGATCTGCTTAACAATAATGGCTCTTTTATACTTGAGGGGGACTTGCAACAAGTGCCCCCAGGGTCTCTCAATTACACCATGTCAGCCCAGATTGCGTACAGAGCATTGAAATGAATAAAGAAAAGAGCACGAATCTGGGCTACTACGCTTTGATACTGTACCTCTCTTCATTATTGCGGGCGTAGCCGCAACATGTCCCCTAGTTTGCTTGTTTTCTTGTTTTGTGAGTTTCACGGCCGCTACTTTTTTTGTTTTTATGTTCTTCCCGTGAGAGTACCATATGGGACCCAGGCTCGGCAAAACTCGGAGCGCACTGAAATTTAGGGTTGGCAAAAACATGCTCGGAGGTACTAGTGGTTTAACGTAGATCCTATGTGTGATAACTATGAAAGGAGGTAACAATTCAAGCTGGAAAGTGATGTTCGAATGGAACAGGTGAACTCGTTGCTGCGCTGCTAAGAACCATCACAGGTTTTGCATGTGCAGTTCAGTCCTTTTATTCTACTTTCTTTTTCTCGATCTCATATTTTTGTGTTCTTGCTTTAGTCCCTGTTCTTCCTTTTCTTCGGCTTTAGTTCCCAAAAGAAATTGCCACACTGCATTGATTTTTGCTTCCTCAGAAGATGCCTGAGGGCCTTCTCCTCAGGCCCTATGCCTCATTCATGCGAACGCTGTAGTCATTCACATCTGGCAATAGAATGGCACTGCTTGAGAGCCACATTTGTGCTCTAATGGATGAGGCATGGGTCATGAAGAAAAGGCCTTTGGGCATCTTCTGTGAAAGGAAAAAGTAATGCAGTGTGCTGGTGCTGCAAGGTGATGCACACAGTTGCCAATCGTAAGAGGATGTTGTGCCAATCACGTGAGGTGATTTTGAAAACTGGTCGGCACATGATGGTCACGATTGAAGTGTTTTGCTTGACATTGTTGGAACAGGTCATAGTAATGGTGAGCATAACTTGTGTGCGTGTGCATGCATGTGATGTGTGTGCGTGTGTGTGTGTGTGCGCGCGTGAGAGAGAGAGAGAGAGAGAGAGAGAGTAGACAGGAGTTGCAGCCTGAATGTTGACCTTGCGTCTTGTTGTAAAGTGGATTGATGCATGGTTGAAGAAATCCGGTTCCATTTCTTGCGGCACTATTTCCTGACTCCATGAACTTGGGGCTTTGTGGGGCAGGCAGTAGTAAAGAAGGCATGGGAACTTTATCGTTGGAATTTTATGTGAAAGACACTTCATCTGGCCTCTCAATGAGCAGACAAAAAAGAGGTTGTGAAGTACTCAGTAACGGATGAATGCTGGTAAAATGGGAACTTGACTTGCCTTGATGACAAGTTGGGTGTTCTTCCTGTTTTGTTTTGTTTTTTTTTGTTTTGTTTTCTCGTTTTCTTTGGTTTTGTTTTGTTTTGTTTTGTTTTTTAATTTTCTGTAGCACGGGAGTGCTACTGGGGAGCCGGAGGGAATTTTTGATGTGGTTGAGAAGCCAAGGGGAGGTGAGTAGGTACATTCCATTTTCCCTACCTCTTGTACACCTGTGTGGTCTCCTATTTTCTGTTCTCTCGTATTTATTGTTACATGCACTGAGAAGCTGTGTTATACGATCCTGGTCATTTCCCAAGTGCAAATTCACAATGAAAGACAATGCCACCCAATTGCGAAAGAAATGAAAGCACTTGCAAAGAGATGAAGACCAGAGGAGAGAGAAAGAAGAAGAAGAAGAAGTACACCTGCAAGACCAATGACAATTCCCCCTTCTCTCTCCACCTTCCTCCTCCTCCAATCCGCCAATCTTATTCTTCTCTCAACAATAATAATAACAATGAATGGATGAACCCGAATCAATATCCGAAGTTCCCTCTTACTGCTGACTCAACTCACAACAACAGCAACAACAACAACAACCAGTCCATAGCTATGGCTTCCCTCCTTCAGCCTCCTGTCTCATGCGTAGGCTATGGTGGACTAATGAGGGCCTTGCCCTTACGTCCAAAGGACAACCCAAAGCAGCTATGGTGCTGCGCTGATGTCCAAAGGACAACACAAAGCAGCTATGCCACTGCTGACTGGTCTGCCATGCCTGACTCTGCCTCAAGCTTCCTTGGTGCCGCACTACCACAACTGGGGCCTTTCAGATGCATCGCCCAACAAGGTGATGAAGATGGTGTCTACCATAGCCAGGTAAGTGCCCCGCGACTCACCTACCATGGCCCCTTCTTCCTCCTCCTCAAGCTGGACTGCTCGTCATAACCAGGCTGAGCGCCAGCGGCCCTTCACCTCCAAGCAGCGCTGCACCAGACCAGCGCTGCACTCCAGCGGCATGTCGCCAATCCTTGCACACCTCAAATGAGGAAGGGCTCTTTGCTATTCCTGGAGATATAGCGGCCTACCGGCCTCCTGGGCGGTGACTTCCTAGGCCTAGCGGCCTCCCAGCAACCGGTACCTCCTCCCTTTCGGAGGGAGACATCATTGCAGGCTCTGCTATCCTCCGCACAGGCCCTAGACCCGGGCTACTTGGACTGGTACCGGCCTACCGCTATCCTACCGCTACTGGGCCTCTGAAAATGCCAACTTTTTGTCTTCTTCTGCTCGGCCTCCAGTACCCGACACTTCTACCACTACTTCAGTGGTACCGGCCTACCTGCTACTCGAGTGTTTTTCCCCTCTGCTCTAAGTGTCGCGGGCCTACCCCCGCTACTCAAGCGTTTTCCCCCCTGCAAACCTTCACAGTCACGGCCACAGGTGAGTACCGGCCCTGCGGGGCCTTGCAACCAACAAGTACCCTTGCGGGTCACACACACTCAACCGACAAGCACTCAGACAGGCATGCAACCCCGCAGGCACGCACACACACACAAACATGGAAATCACAGCAGAATGCGGGAATTTCAATAAGGCATTCATTCCAGCGGCAAATCACAGAAATCAGCAGTGTTCTCAGTCTGTGCTTTTGGCGGGTCATTACATTACCCCCCTCTCAAGAGCGAGGTCCCTTCGAGCGAGTAACTCATTTAGAGTTGGCACAAAATGCATCGTAGGAGTAAATCAGAAAGAGAGACTTAGTAAGTCCGTGAGGAGTCATTTTTGCAACAAATTTAGCAGTCTGTCCCTCAGTGATCTGTCGTTCATTAAGCGTTCACAACACGGGGAGCACTCTTTAGCAGCTCTTTTCGGTCGATCCAGAAGAATTCAGTCAACGGGTGATAGAGGAAGTGAACCTTGTACTGTCTGTTCCTCCCTCTACCCTCGTGAGAAACGATTCTGTCTATCTCATGACCGCCGTCAAGAGAGCGAGGTATCATAGGGTCTCGGAAGGGAAAAGTTTTATCATCAATGTGTGGGAACAGTTTGGACGCATGAAAGATCGGGTACGTGCGAAGATGAGGCGGCACGTCAATCACATATGAAGGACCAAAATCATCCCTAACCACCTTCAGAATCTGCCAAGGGCCATAGTACAATGGAAGGAGCTTTCGTGATATGCCCTCTTCGTCAGGAAACTCTGACATTTTGACCCAAACATAATCCCCTACTTTGAATTTTTCTTCTTTGCGCAACTTGTTTTGATCATGGCATGCTGGCGCTTGTTCATGGCTGCAATAACAGCTTTGAGCAAACGTGCGTACTTGGCATTGTAGCCAGGCATGCCGGGCATCAGACCAGGTGACCGTTCGGGGAACAGATAGGAGAGGGGATTACGCATCGGCCATCCGTATTGCAACTGGTTTGGTGTCACGCCAGTTGCAGAGTGAATGGAGTTGTTATACAGTCCCTTCATTTTTTACAACTCCTTGTCCCACGTGTTCTGATCTGGAACAATCAATGTGCGAAGTAGTTGGATGACAGTCTGGTTGATCTCCTCGGCCAATCCATTGGCTTCGGGGTGTCGACCAGAAGTCTTGTTCAGTTTAATGTCATAGATTTGAGAGGTGAAGTCCTTCAAATCTTTGCTGATGAATCTGGTGTCCCGATCACTCACAATAGTTTTTGGGACGCTAAACTGCAGAATCTACTGCTAATGGAATTCTTCAATGACAAGTTCAGTCGGGGCATGGGGAGGGAAAGGAATCAAGTTCAGAAATTTGGAAAAAAGGTCCACGATGACCATGACTTTTGAATTTCCAGCCTCACTCACCTTTCCCATGTCCGTGAAGTAGATGGAAATTGATTCACCGGGTCCATCCGGAATGGGGAGGGGTCTCAGCAGACCATAAGGCAATTTGGAAAAAAGGTCCACGATGACCATGACTTTTGAATTTCCAGCCTCACTCACCTTTCCCATGTCTGTGAAGTCAATGGAAATCGACTCACCGGGCCCATCCGGAATGGGGAGGGGTCTCAGCAGGCCATAAGGCTTATGCCTGTGGACCTTGGTTCTTTCGCATACCTGACATTCAACAATAAATTTCTGAGCAGATCCTTTCATTCCTGGCCAATCAAACTGCTGCAGAAGGCTTCCATAAGTCTTCTCAAAGCCGAAGTGTCCACTCCGACCATGTGCCAAATCCAAGAAATGAGTCCGGAGAGGCGCATGGTTGGGTATACACAAACGATCAAACTTCCCATACCGGCGGAATACAAGACCCTCGCACTCATGAAAATCAGGCTGACTGTTAGGGTCAGCCTTGAGCTGCTCAAGGATGGGACTAAGGTCCGGATCCTTGGCGGTGTGTTCGACCAGATCCTCCTTCAGTTTCCTTCGGAGGTCATACGAACCCACAAGGCAAGTCAAAAACTCAGGGTGACGCGACAAAGCATCAACAACGCGATTATTACAACCTTTCTTATGCTTCAATTCAAAATTGTACACGTCAATGTCATGCAACCAGCGGGTCAGCGTAGGAGAGAGATCAGTTTGTGTCTAACTCCACTGCAAAGTCTGATGATCTGAGTAGACCTTGAAGTGCAGATCCAAGAGGTAGTGCTTCCAATGTGTGAGTGCCTCGCGCATGGCGTAGAGCTCACGCATGTATGTGGAGGTAGCTACCTTGTGGCTGGGCATGGGTTTGCTGTAATATTCGAGCAGACGCAGTCCATCACCATCATCTAGTTGCAACACTGTACCAATCCCAAACTGGCTCGCATCCGTAGTGATTACGAATGTGAGGTTGGGATCCGCAATGCGGAGCACATGATGACTCACCAATGCCTCTTTTAAGGCTTGGAACGCAGTCTCACACTTCTCACACCACACATAGGCAACATTCTTACTGGTTAGTCTCGAGAGTGGGTGAGCAATGACAGAAAATTTTGGCACAAACTTTCGGTAGTACGAGGCAAAACCAAGAAAAGAACGCAGTTCGCGTACGTTCGCTGGTTGAGGCCGATTTCGTATGACCTCCACCTTGGTTGCCTCCGGCTCAAGGCCGTTTTCAGACAACCGGTGCCCAAGATAGATGACGCTGTCCCTTCCGAACTCAGATTTCTCTAAGTTGAGGTGCAGTTGTGCCTCCTTGAGGACCTGCAAGACCTCCTCAAGGTGCTTGAGGTGCTCTTCCATGGGCTTGCTGAAAATCAGAATATCATCAAGGTACACAACCACAAACCTGTTRAGCTGATGGCGGAGTACCTTGTCCATGAGGCTCTGAAATGTGGCTGGTGCATTTGTAAGATCGAAGGGCTTTACGATGAATTCGTATTGCCCATCGCGTGTTCGCGTGTCTTGAATGCAGTTTTGTGCTGGTCACTCGTATCAACTTCAATCTGGTGGTAGCCAGATTTGACGTCGATCTTGGAGAAGACCTTGCACCCACCTGCATCATCTAGCATATCATCTATACGAGGCAAGGGATACGCGTTCTTTCGGTTGATACGATTTAGGCCACGATAGTTAATGCACATTCGGAGTTTGCCTCCTTTCTTCGGCACAAACAGGACAGGTGCACCGAACTCGAGACTCGCTACGCCTAATCCATCCACGAGATCATGTCATCAATCTGCCTCCTCAACGGAGCCCTTTGGAGGAACACTCCATTCTATTATCTCGATCTTGTGTTTGATCGGACGCTCGGGAACTCCACGAGGTTCGAGCAAAACTTCAGGAAATCGATCTAATAGCTGGCGAATGTTTGTTGGGACTTCCGATGGAGGATCGTCCTCATCAGGAGAAAGAAAATCAGTTTGAGAATTTAAAACAATTACAATCGGATTCGAAGTACTTGGATCAGAATTAGAGGGATTATTCACAGTAGAAGTAGATGGATTAGAAGTAGAGGCAATAAAAGCAGAGTTACTTACCGAGGTAGAAAATGCAGCAAAAGTAGAAGGCACATGGAGAGGCTTTACAAAAGCTACATGTACATGCTCAACTTCCTTGTGCCTGCGCACTGATTTGGAGAATTTGTTTGCACTTAGAAGAGTCACAGGGGACTCGCGCGTGGACGGTACACTCGTTCCTCTTGGTATCACGCACCAGGAACTGATTGTCCGCCCACGTGGTCCTTAGGCAATGAGTTTTCAACCAGCCCAAGCCAATGACCGCGTCGAACGGACACTT